TTTTTTTTTTTTTTTTTTTTTTTTTGTCAGTCTCACTCTGTTGCCCAGGCAGGAGTGCAGTGGCAGGCTCATGGCCACTGCATTCACGAGCTGCTGGGCTCAGGCGATCCTTCTGCCTCAGTCTTCCAGGTAGCTGGAACTACAGGCGTTAGCCACCATACCTGGTTAACTTTTTGATTTATTGTAGAGATGAGGTCTCACCAAATTGCCCAGACTGGTCTCGAACCCATGGACTCAGACAATACTCATCATCTCCACCTCCCAAAATGCTGGGATTACAGGCGTGAATCACCCACCTCCCTGGTGATTCTTTTTTTCTTTTTTTGAGTTGGAGTCTCACTCTATCGCCCAGGCTGGAGTGCAGTGGCATACTCACAGATCACAGACTCGACCTGCTGGGCTCAGGTGATTCTTCTGCTTCAGTCTTCCAAGTAGCTGGAACTATAGGCATGCACCACCACACCTGGCTAATTTTTTTTTTTTTTGAGTTGGAGTCTCACTCTGTTGCCCAGACTGGAGTGCAGTGGCCACTCCCAGCCACTGCAGCCTCGACCTGCTGGGCTCCGACGATCCTTCCGCCTCAGCCTTCCGGGTAGCTGGAATTACAGGCATGTGCTACCACGCCCGGCTGATTTTTTGATTTATTGTAGAGATGAGGTCTCACTGCCCAGGCGGGTCTCGAACCCGCGGGCTCAGGCAATCCACTCACATCAGCCTCCCAAAGGCGCAGGATTACAGGCTGAGCCACCGAGCCCGGCTTAATTTTTTGATCTATTGTAGAGATGAGGTCTCGCCAAGCTGTCCAGGTTGATCTTGAACCTGTGGGCTCAGGCAATCTTTTAACTTCAGCATCCTAAAGTGCTGGGAACTACAGGTGCGTGATACCACGCTTGGCTAATTTTTTTGATTTATTGTAGATATGAGGTCTCGCCAAGTTCCACAGACGAGTCTCGAACCTGCGGGCTCAGGAAATTCACTCACCTCGGCCTCCCAAAGCATGGGATTACAGGCTGAGCCATCGAGCCCGGCCAAGTGCTGGGATTATAGGCATGAGCCACTGCGCCCAGCCACCCTGGTGATTCTTTTTTTTTTTTTTTTTTTT